TTTTTTCATTTATTTTACCAGTCATTATATGTCAAATAAAACAGACTTTGAACAATGTCTCTCAGAGCTGTGATACAGACCCAACTTGTAGGATCAAAACCATAAGGCTTTAAGTGGTCAGCTACACCTGAAAGGGATCTGGTCAAATGTTTTGAAATATTGTAGTTAATATGTATACACTCAGTTACCTGGTGGAAGCATCCCTGGCATTGGAGGTAGTGGCTGGTCCATTTCCTTTGGTCTCTCCCAGGTAGACTGTAGAGTCTTGGAGTTATAGTAGTACACCCTTCCATCTCCTGCACGATGCTCAGACCAATCACTCCTAGGAGGCAGTGGCATTCCCATTGGTGGCATGGGCAGCCCTGGAGGAGGCATACCTGGGGGAGGCATACCTGTTGGCGGAAGGCGTGGCGGCATCATACCTGGAATCATTCCTGGGGGAGGCAGTCGCGGAGGTGGCATACTTGACGGGAAAGGACCAGGTGATGGCATACCAGGATTGCTGTTAACAAAATAACGTCACAAGAAGGAAGTTAAACCTCTAAGAATCAAACATGTCACACATTTAGTATTTCCTAAATGCCAGGCAAAAAAACTTGGGACAAGAATTTGGAGTTCAAACTAGACCTTCTTATTGGACACTGAAAAAAAAACAGAAGCTCACATATTTCACACAGATAGTAATCAGTGTTCAAATACTTGAGAGTATGGCTGTGGAACAAACTTCATGACATAACACTATGACACTGATGCATAAGAAGAACCAGTTACAACTTCATATACACTATCACCACCTGTCGTTCAGTATTAAGACTTAACAATTTCAACAGAAAACTTGACCTAAACTTCTCTAATTATAGCCACAAAAAAACAAAGAGTTTTTTAATAACATTTATTTTGTACATTGCAGAGGATGTTCTTGTTATTACTTTTAACCCTTTGACCCCTTGCAATGATAGCATCTAATTTCTCCTTAAAACATCACCCTCATATCATACATTAAAGACATGAGAATAACAGAAATGATCACCAATTTTATGGAGCTCTTGCTTATTAAACAAATTTGCCTTGTCAGCACCTTAGGATATGTATAGAGAACAGTATGGAGACCATACATACACTTGTACATGTCTACTTACTTTTGTGGTGGTAGCTTATCTGCTGTTACATTAGTGCCGCCTGCTACCTGCTGTGCACCATTCTGAGTTCCCACTTGTTGTTGATTCTGCTGCGTATTAACTGTATCTCCTGGCTTTGCTTCCGGCTCTGCAGCTGGTGTTTGTTGCTGTTGCCCTTCAGGAGGAATGTTTTGTCCCTAAAGTTGGGAAGGGCAATTAAAGTTAACAAAACAAACTTCACTGATAAGTGTAGTTAAAGACAAATCAAAAGCACATCACCCTTTATCATCTGCATGGACTGGTGTAATACCAACTCAAAAGACCTACAACCTAAGAATTGTAAATCCTTTCTAAATCAATTCAGCTAACCATTTAACTTCCACAAGTAGTTGATATGTAATATCTTCTTACAATTTCAAAATGTTTTCTTGCAGTCAGCATAAGATGGCAGACAAACTTATCAGTTAGAGGGTTTGATCCCGATGAAAAACCAAATTTTCTTATCTAATAAATGATGATATGTACAGGAGTCAGTAAGGACAATAACCAATTTGATCTTGAGATTAAAGTGACATTGAATAAAGGCAGAAGACACGACAAACAGGCCATTGAAACTTAGAGAAGGGCAATCACGACTTTTAATCAACAGAGGTAACTTACTTGAACTGGCTGCAATGTCTGCTGTCCAGATTGGGCAGGCTGTTGATTTTGCGCAGGTGGAGTAACAAGGTTTTTGGGTTTCTCCCAAGCAGACTCTCTGGTTCTTGCATTGTAATAATACACTTTTCCTTCTGAAGTCTTGTGTTCTAACCACATGTCACCATTGGTATCAATCATAGGTGGATCTTTGCCTTGAGATAGCTGCTGCTGCTGAGCCATCTGCATCGGCATTTGCTGCTGATTTGGCATCATTGGTGGCATTTGATTTGGCATCATGGGCCTTGACTAAAATTATTGATCACAAGACAAATTTTCAGACATCAAGGTAAATGAAACCAACAAATCACACCACGTCAAACACAGTGATGCTGCTCCAACAGTGCAACATTATCTCCCAGTCTCCTTACATTTTATGTAACAGAGTTCTTTTGTATAATTCAAGGGCTAAATTTAACCCTCTGAACCCTTCCCTGTCTGTCTCACGTTTATTACTTATATTTTAACTCTGTGATTAACCCTTTACCCTTAACATCAGTATCCATATTCTCCATATTGTTCTCTATACATTTCCCAAGGTGCTGACAAAGAGAATTTGTTTAATCATCAAGATCTGCCGTAGTTGATGATCATTTCCTCGATTCTCGTGACCTCAATGTTTGATTCAAGGGTGATATTGTGAGGAGAAATAGGATGCCAGTCTCTTATAGGGGGGTAAAGGGTTAAGTAAAGAAATGGTTCTTGCAGGTGAGCTTTAACTGGTACAATTTACAGACAAAGGAAGCTGAAAAAATTCAGGCTTTGATGTGATTCATACCCATGCCTGCAAGATAGTAGTTGGGTACTATCACCAACTAAGCTTTGAATGAAGCCACAAGCTGGGAGCATGACAAATTCTAAAGGGTTTCTGATCACTTTTAAATGAAATAAATAATACATGTATGTTATCATCATAATTACTGTTAATTAATATTGGTTATTTCATTTGATTGAGTTGGAATAACCAGTGCAAAAAAATGAGCTTAGGACGAAGTGATAAAAAGAAAAACCTGTATATTTGGCAACATGGGAGCATTGCCCAGAGGTCCTCCAAAAGGCGGTCTTGTATTGTTCATCATATTCCTTGGGTCAAACGGTCCCCTCATAAAACCTCCAGGTGGTTGACCCAATAAAGACCCTCTGGGACCTTGCCCTGTGGGTCCACGAGGTGGGGGCCCTCTCACATTTGGTGGGACAGCCCTCTGGGCCATCAAAGGAGGAGGCATACTGTGCCTCATGGCTGATCTAAAATGAAACAAAAAGTGTTGAATTAAAAATTAAAATACATGTGACCTGAAAGTTGTTTTGCCAAATCTTTTTAATCCTACAAAGTAAGAGTGCAAAAACCAGGAGACCACAGCTGAAAATTCAATTAGAGTGGTTTTATCTAAGGGGGGAAGGGAAGGGGAGTTAAAGATCACACTAAGCAACTCAGGATTTCAGTCTACCACCAATTTAAACATGCACATCTGATTCTGTAAAAACTCAAGACTCTGCTTGACCCCTTAAATCCCAGAAATGATCAACATTTAACTTCTTCCAATATTACCCATATATCATCTAGCAAACAGGTTATGAGACTAAGCAAACTTATGATCTTACACAAAATTACCATATTAAATTGGTTTACAACAAAATGTGTTGTAGCTATAGGGGGAGAAACAACAATTGGATTTTAAGATTCCTGATAAATGGAAATGTCACTCCACTGGCAGTTACTTACCTCATGGATAAACAGCACAGTGAGTCTAAGAGATACATTCAAGTGAAAATATTGCTAAAATTGGATGAAGTTTTCCCATTCATCTGCATCACGCATGTTTTGACAACAGTTAAAAACACATGGCATGAATTTCTAATTTCTTTGCAACCGCAACCATTAATTACACCTTTAACTATGTAGAATCTAGATATACCTGACTCAAGCTTGATTTACAATGTAAAACAACTAAAATTTATGTGGACAATGCGTGCTCCACAAATTTCCTGCTGTTCTTCAGTATTTTCATCGTCGCTATTACGCGTGAAGATGAGAACTGAGAACTCACCTGTACTTTAAAAGTCAGTTAAACTCGGATCACAGAGAAAATCTGCAATGAAGTAGCTCAAAATTCACAAGTTAATTCTTAATGAAAAAGCAAACCATCAGCCGCCATATTTTTTCCCATAGTGCACGAGGATTTTGGCAGAAAGCCCGGATAGAGAAGCTCGTTCCAGGTCACGCGGTGTCCATTTTGAAACGCAAGATGGCGATAACGGCTTAATGGGAATTAATTTGTAAGTACAGAAATTAATTGTGGTTGATATGGACAGTTTACTCAATTTATGGTTAAAGAACGAGAGAAATCTTTCTGCTCTTTCAAACTTCGGGAAGATTTCCATATTACTCTGTACTATTCTTCGAAAAAGCTTTTGTCCCCAAGGTAATCTGTCAATTTTGTTGCTATTCTTGGTAAAATTTCCGCACAGCCCAATACTACATTATGCGTTCAGTTCTTGGATAGAGAAAACAATGACAAAAGCAATACATAGCCTTTGGAAAAACAGATTTGTTTTACAATAGTACGGGGCTGTGCGAAAATTTTACCCTATGTATTTTTAAGTCTACCTCATTTAAACTTTAACCACTAGAAGTGACTAAAAATGAACTTCGTTTTACAATATCATCACATTTTCAAGCAGGTGACAATATTGTTTGATTAGATACCAAATTCTTAAAACTTAAAGTCCCAGAGATGTTTAACTTGAGGAGAATTTACACAAGATCTTGAAATTAAGAGGCCGGGGCAAAAAATTATTACACTTTACTCAGACTTCCATCAGTTAGATAATATAACAAACAAATTTTAAATTTATTAATGATTAATTTTCTATTATCAAACTTGCATCAGAAACATATTATAACAAACATATGTCAAATTTATTAATAATTCATTTCCTTTTATCTATTAAAACTCTAATAGACTGAAACAAACTAATAAATTCTACTTTTGCAACAACTTTGTTTCCTGTGGTCATAATTTTGGGGAAAGACTGAAAAATGATTTTGTTTACAAATCAAAAGTCAGGTTTATCTGATGAATCCATTAATGTCACTTGGAATACATGAATAGAATACCTATAATTTTTTTGCAATTTTAGAAATTATGTAGACTCACTAAAAATACAAAATTTAAATTTGATCCTGTCCTTGCTGTATTTTTTGCTCCACTTTATGGCAAAGTGAAAAAAAATATTCTTATTGTGTCAGGTTGAGGATTTTTTCCACCAAATTAAACCCTAGGAAATACAGCTGTAGCAAAAAAGACAACAGATGCCTTTATTTAATGTGGTTATAATTATAATAAATGAACATGAATCTAATTATCTTCTCTCAAGATGTGAAGTCACTTTCAATTCTAGAGTCAAGCTATTATTACGAATTGTGACACGTCAACTGTCTTACAGCCAATCTTCCCCAGGCATTAATCAACAGAGCTCTCATATCATATTACTTTTACTGCCAAAAATCCATCAATTTCAATCACTTACACGAGAGAAGTATTTTGAGAAGATCTCTAAGACAAGGATAATCAATTACTAAGTACTGTACCTTGAAAATATTTTAAATTATACAACATTTAACCTTGTGGTTTAAAAGCTAATCCAAACTCTAAAATAATGACTTGAACATGAACAGCGATAAATTACTGTAGAATATTGGATATTCTACTGAGGAAAAAAGAAGGTTCTTTGAACTGCATTACTCTCCAGTTAGCTTGGCTTTGTATTTCAGTGTAATTTTCAAGGACTTTGTTTTATGAATTTCGAACAAATTGCTAAAAAAAACCGTTTTGGAAGGAAGGAGTATAAGACATCTTAGTAGAGAGTTTACAGTACTCAACATAAAGAATAAAGGAATGAATTAATGTCAGATTTCTGCAAACTGTCCCAACTTTCATTATAGGCTTCTATATTTGCTACTCTGGAAAACTTTCTTTAACATGCAAGCCATCTGCTCATACATTTTAATTACCTAGACCAAGAACAGCCTTGTCCATCCCTGACGTATGCTGTTAAATCTGTTGTTCATGGCTGCCGTCACCAAAACAGTATTTTAATGGACAATAACTACAAATATTTAACCCTCCAACCAAGAAAGAATGTCCTCCTACAATATCCATACAATCTCAAGCAGACAACTGATTAAAATAAAGAGAAATATCAATTAGGGGACTACAAGTTGATCCAATACCAAATTCTCTAAACTAATATCTCAAGAACTGTATGGGAGACAGTAGGGAGAATTACTAAGGAGATCTTGGGAATTAAAGGGTTAAGAATCTAGTTACTACAGCCACACTTTTCCTTCTCATTTCCATCTCCTGCTCGAATTCCACGATCAAGATTATCCCCCAACACAAATGCTCTTTGCTCTGTCTGAGTGTCTTTAACATGTTTATTTACCAGCTCAGCAAGCATTGTGAAAGCCTCGGTGACGTTAAAAGAATCTTTAGCACTTGTCTCTATGAAAGGCATGTCATTACGAGCAGCCCACTCTGCACCACTTTCGGTGGAAACTTGACGATGTGAATTAAGGTCTGTCTTGTTGCCGACCAGAATCATCAAGACTCCTTGATTGGCATATGTTTCTACTTCATTCAGCCATTTATTGAGGTTAGAGAAAGTTTCTTTTCTTGCAATATCATAGACTATCATAACCCCATGTGCTCCTCTGTAGTATGAGGATGTTATTGTTTTAAATCTTTCTTGGCCAGCTGCAACAAAATAAATATATATTATTAGATGTTTCTGGTGTGTAGCATTGCTGAGGATTTTCATGAGTTGTGCCTACTTTTGTTGAGTCTGCAGGGCGAGCCAAAATACTTTCAATGAGTAAAATTACTAAGCAATTTCACACATCAAAATGTTTAATAAGTTATTTATTATCTAACTGCTGCTAAGTGTTTCTGCTCATTTCTCAGAAGGCCAGAAAAGCAAAGGGGTTAGAGAAACATGGCAGATGTAGCAAACTAGTTAAACAGATTTTTTTTTTTTACAGTACAAAAATAACGAACTGTACGATAGCAGAGAAGATTTGTACTCTATTCACACATTATTTGCTTTCCACTTTGTGCAGTTGTATAAAACATCAGAATACTGACTCCCAATTAAATATCAAGACAAAACTTCTGAATTATTGGTTCAATTTTGTGTTTTTTTTCTTATGTGTTAACAAAATTTTAAGTATCCAAACCAAAAATTTGAAATGTTGGTGGAATAAGATTACACAATAAGCTCATTTATTCAAACACTTTGATTAGTTCTAAATAATGATCTTTTGGAGGACAGACACACAGATAACATCACCATTAACATCTTCAGCTCTTTTTTTAAAGAAATATGAATAGATTCCATGTTGTTATCAGTCTGTACAGCAATAGACCACAGTAGAGGTCACAATGTCATGAGAACATCAGTGATACACTCAGCTGCTCCTGTGTGCCACTTTTTAGTCCTACCTGCATTTTGATCTATAACTGATTCAACACATGGTAAGATAGAATCCATTTGTCACTTTGAAACATGGAACTACTGTACCCATGTATATTTATGGTTTGTTTTCTTTAGAGTAACACAGGGTCTTGGGTAGCAAGAACAGTTTAAGAATTTTGAACTTGAATTTTTCAGGTTTTACCTTGATTTATATAAACTGAAAGTCTTGCTTTAACCTCAAGGCTAAATCCATTTAAAAAATCCTCAAATTATTGCGATCAATGTGCAAATTGCCATGACAATTTCTATACTTACTAAAAACCGCTGTGGCATTGTACCAAAATCAAAAGAAACACCTGACCTTGCTTCATTTTTAGACAAATAGCCAAGACGTAGCCTTCACCAGAATGACAAATTTTCCTGTCATTGAAGGACACCAACAAACTCCCACACAGCCGAAATGTTTTAGAAACAATCCTTTAAGTGCCATAAATTTCCTTTTGTAAGTTGATAGCCTGGTGTCCTCTTATGCATAATTGTTCAAGAACTGCTTATTATTCACTAATATTTACCATCCATTGACGCACATTGTCCCCGATGATCTATCAGATGACGAGAAAATATCACATTTGATTGCACGTAAAAGCCCAAATGGCTTATTTCTGCAGGTGCCTCGTCTTAACGATCTCAATTTTCTGTTCATACTTGAACTAAGATTTCCCCAGTTCTATCCAGACTTCTTACAAATGTCCTGTCTGATTTTTACTAAGACCAAATATTCACAATATAACTTTTGATATATGCCAGCCTGTCTGTGAATCACATATCTGACAACTGTTATCGTAGG